GCAAACATTACCTTTTTACTTAAAAGAAGCACTTTATGGCTTGTTTTTGGCATATCCGAATTGCTAGCATCACCACTCTTGCACTTTGGGGCCATTGTTAAGTAAAATAAGGGTTACTTGAACAGAAGCACTGCAATACTGCAACACTGTTTCTGATAATGAGAAGGTTAAGTGACTAATGGGCTGGTAGCCTATATAGCGACAAAGGGATGATTTCCGGGGAGGGGGGCGGCGGAGCCAGGTGGCCAGAGATTTCATCATGCTACTCAGAATGACGTGCAATTTAAAACTTATGAATTATTTATTTCTGGAAATTTCCGCCTAATATTTTCAGATGGCGGTTAATCTCGGATAACTGAAACAGTAGAACGTGAAACCGTGCATGGGGGCGGGGAGACTGCTGTAGTCCATTTTACAGACGAGAAAACTAAGGGAAGTAATGTAACCTACCCACGATTGCAACATTTAGCAAGTTGAGCTCAAGACTTGAGCTAGAAGAGCTGACTCAACCCTAAACCGTTTGTGCTAAGGCCTCTGCCCTTAACTTGTACATTTTGATAATCTAGAAGACGAATGCCGCCTAGAATGAGTCAGGAAGTCACCCTTCGTCCCGCCCTCCCAACAAGCGCGCGCACGCGCACGCGCACGCGCACGCGCACGCGCACGCGCACATACACAAGATAGACTCCTTTGCATACTGGGAAGAGCCCACTGGAATGTAGGCGGAAGAACTACAACTCCTAGCAGCCATTGTTCGTTCACGCCTGCGCTCATATCGCACCCGGACGCGAGCCTTGAGCTGCACTCGCTGTTGAAACTACACTACCCAGGTCTCCAGTGGTAACCCGTGACACTCCTTGGACCGCGAGAGCTGGGCTGGGTTTCAACTGCTTGCCTCTTGTTCGCTAGCTCAGACCCGGCCCAGGACCTAGCCCCAGACTCGGACACAGCTTCACCATGGAGGAGGCAGACCGAATCCTCATCCATTCCCTGCGCCAGGCCGGCACGTAAGGACACAGCCCCCGCCCACCCCGGAATCCCCGTATCCGGGACTCCAAAACTCCGGACCCAGTCACCCGGGAACCTTAAAACCTTGGACATTGACACCCAGGGCTCCAACTTCCAGGATCCTAAACCTCCTTTCCCCTTACACACACACACACACACACACACTGACATCAGGGGCCTCCCAAACCCGACATTTGGTAAATCCCAAACTCAAGGACCTAGACACCTTGAGACCTTCAAACCTTGGAACCTCAAGACCCAGGACCCTGAAATCTGTGAATCTTGAGATCGCTACTCTAGGACCCTGATACCTGGAGATTCTAAGGCACCTGTATCCTGAGAACCAGGGAACTTAAAACCCCAGGACCCTTGCACTCAAGGACTCCAAAAACACTGATACTGGATACATGGGAATCTTTAAACCCGGTTTTCCAGCACCTGGGGCTTTTAAAACCCCAGGAGCCTAAATTTTGGTGGCCTCAAGGCTTGCTGACCCTAATACACAGGACTTCTGCATTTGAGGGCCCTAGAAACCCAGGATGCCAACGTCTAGGGAGCCTGATTTCTGGATTGCTTGAAACTAGGTGGTCTTAATATCCAGAGATCTTGAATTCAGGGATCCTGACATTTGGAACTTCTGAAAACCCCAACCTCCCAACATATAGTCTCAAAACCCAAGCAGCTCAATATCTAGGGGCCTCTGACATTTATGGAACATGGTATCTGGGGACCTAAAAACCCAGAGATCATTCCACACGGGCCCCTTGCCCTTCCTAGACCCCAGAAATTTGGGGCTTAAAAGTCTATTGATTTCAGAGAGAGGAAGGGACAGAAACATCAATGGTGAGAGAGTCCTCATTGATACGCTGCCTCCTGAACGCCCCCTGCAGGGATCGAACCCCCAACCCGGGCATGTGCCCTGACCAGGAATCGAACTGGGATCTCCTGGATCATAGGTCGGTGCTCAACCACTGAGCCACGCTGGCCAGGCAATTTGGGGCTTTTAAGCATAGAGAAATTTGAGATTTTCTCAACTCAGATCCCTTCCATCCACTGTTCTCCTACAGCAAGTTCTTAGGACCTGAGGACATCCTCAGTTCTTAGTTTTCCAAATGGAAATCATATTTATCAACACCCAGGATCTGTCTGAACCATGGCCATCCTTCTCACCCCCACCCCAGTACTAGGGCTTCCAGAAGGCAGCCCAGCCCAGCCTGATTCCTGTTTTCTGACTCTTCCCCGCATCGAGCCTGCCCCCATTTTTTTTCAGGGCAGTTCCTCCAGAAGTTCAGACCCTGCGAGCCTTCACCACTGAGCTGGTTGTAGAAGCTGTTGTCCGCTGCCTGCGTGTGATCAACCCTGCTGTGGGCTCCAGCCTTAGCCCTTTGCTGCCTCTTGCCATGTCTGCCCGTTTCCGCCTGGCCATGAGCCTGGCTCAGGCCTGCATGGTGAGTGCCCTCCTCCCAATACACACAGCGTCTTCCTTCCTACTTCACAAAGTCACCAAGCTCCTTTGAAACTCTTGCCTTTCCTCTTTGCTACCTCCCTTTGTGGCTTAGCATTCCGGCTGCTGGTTCTCTGGTCAAACTGCCTGAGTAGTTCAGACCCTCACTGCACCACTTGCTAACTATGTGACCCTAACCCTTCTGGGTCTTAGTTTCCTTAAATGTGAAATCGAGATGATAATATTTGGGCCGTTATGAGCATTAAAAGAGTTGATCTAGTTTGCGCCCGGGCTGCCCCAGGCTCCCGCATTTTCAGCTTAGCACCAAAAATTTTCCCCCCTATGGTATCCATTTACTAGTCTCAGAAAAGGCCCTACTTGATTCACATGGTCATTTCTGAATTAACCACTGTGTATTCTGACTGGTTTAGCTGGATCACATGGTCATTCATAAGGCACTGTGATTGCTGCTGCTTCAGGATCACATGGAGGAGAGGGAGGGATGGTTACCCAAAGGAAGATATGCTGGGTAACTAAAAACAGTGTCCCTGCACTAACACTGCACTCTGCCCTATGGCAGCCACACACGTCCTGCCTCTCATGAGAATAATTCCAAAACTATCTACCTGGATAATGTGCCTTTGATGAAGCACTCATGCCTTTGCAGTATAGACCTGTGTCCAGTTAGTAATCCAAGGGCTCCCAGTAATGTTGTTTCTCCTGGTTTACCAGCTGTGACTTTGGGCCAGTCGCTTAATTTCTTTAGGCCTCAGTTTTTTCATGTGTAAAGTGGGTGTAAGAACTGTACCTGTCACATAGAGTTGCTGTAAGGGTTAAAAATGGGTTGATATATGAAAAGCCTGTATTACAATAAGCTTTGTGTAAGTGGTCTTACTATTATTGGGTAGGCCTGGTTTGGCTGCTTGCATTCCAGCAACCTGTGGCTACATACATCCAGCACACCCAGTATATGGTGGTAGAGGCTCAATACAGTAACTACAGTGAACACTTCCATTTAGACCCAGTAGACAGGGTGGTCAGGTTTCTTGAATTTGGACCTTGTGCAGTGTCTGTCTCTTAGCAATAGGCCTCAGAGCTTTGCCCATTCCTTAGCTCTCAGGTTCACTTACCTCTCAGGAGTTCTCAGGTTCTTCTGGCTGGCTGAGGGTCTTGGTGGCATTATGAGGCAGACAGTCTTTTCCCCTGACCTGGAGCTTTATTCTCAAGGATGATACTTGTTAAGGGGGAAATTATGTCCTCTGTTTGGCAAGGAGAGTGCATAGTGAGAGATGTTGAGAAGGGCCTGGGCAGGGGGGTGTTCAGGCTTCCCCAGTTCTCTGTTCCTCTCCTCTCTCAGTGCTGTCTCCCACTGGATTTGATGTTGACCTACTTTTGTTCACACTAAATTTAGTGTGGTGCTGAGAGTATGGTTTTTTCAGTGATCAAGTGGTTCATGTGATTGTCTGGCCCCTCAGCCTCAGTGCTTCCACAGCAGACAGAGGTGTCTCTTAATCCAGCTGTGTGCTGCCCTGGGAGCCCACTTTGGCTCAGCACTGCCGCCTTCTGGTGTCTGCCTCTACATATGCCCTACTCCTACCACCGCTTTCTGCGACTCAGCCACCTCCATATTTTGGTGTCTGTCATTTCACACACCCCACTCCTGGAATGAGTTTCTGTATTAGTCACAACTCTTTGAATGAAGATGTCGGAAAAAAACCAAAGTAAAGTAGCTTAAAAGCCAGTGGTTTTCACACGTTTTTGACCGTGACCCTCCAAAATAAATATATCTCACGTTGTAACCCAGTGCACACACGTGAGTATGGTAATGATGTTTTGTGAGTGTATATTCTGTGCCAGGCACTGTGGTAACATGATGTTAACTCATTTAATTCTCATGACAACTTTCCGAGGTACGTACTGTTGGTAACCCTTTTTTTTCAGATGAGGAAAGTTAAGCACAGAGAGGTTAAGTGATTTGCCTGAGGTCACACAGTTGGTAAGAGGCAGAACATAGATATGAATTCAGGAAAGTCTGATTTCAGAGTCCATGCAGCTCCAGACCAACAGCAACTCTGGCAGAAAACGGCTTTCTTTCTGGCCCATTTCTCAGTCCCTACCAAGAACCCTGATGGGCCCTTTTATCTCTTAAAGCAGCTACATGGGGAAATAACTATCAGCTCTCTTTTACAGCTAGGAAACTGAGCTTCTAGGTGTTAAATAACCAGTTCAACGCCTTACAGCCAGTAAGTAGCACAGGCTGGATTTCAACCCCCCTTTTTTTTTTTTTTTTTTTTTTTTTTTTTTACTACAAAGCCTGTAGTCTCTTTAAAAAAAATTATTTCCTGTTTTCAGTAGCTTATTTTGTCAATCAGGGTCCAGTCCCAAGACAGAAACCCAGCAGTGTGAACAGGGATATCTTAATATAAAGAACTGTGAACTAGGTAAAAGGTGACTATTTACTGAAACAATAGAAGACATCATCAAGGTGTGACAGAAGTAGTGCGATACCTTGAGATGTCTTACTCACATACCCCACCATTTACCCTATTACTCCTACCTGTCTGCTATAAGGGAATTACTTTGATTAGTTTCTTGTGTATCTTTCCAGATTTTTAAGATATAGCCCTAGCCGGTTTGGCTCAGTGATTAGCGTCAGCCGTTGGACTGAAGGGTCCCAGGTTCCATTCTGGCCAAGGGCACGTACTTTGGTTGCAGGCTTGATCCCCATCCCTGGTTGGGGCTTGTGCGGGACGCAACCAATTGATGTGTCTCTCACATCGATCTCTCTCTCTCTCTCTCTCTCTCCCCCCGCCCCCCCTTTCACTTTCTCTGAAAAGCAATGGAAAAAAAATGTCCTCAGATGAGGATTAAAAAAATAAAATAAATAAAATGCAGATAAAAGCAAATATGAATATATATCCTATTTTCCCCTTTCTTATACAAAAGAGAGCATATACTTAGTTTCTTAGCTTTTTTTTTTTT